ATATAAATTTTTAAAAGTGATAAATAAAATTAATTTTGGAAAAATTATTCGCTTTAATTTGAGGTGTTAGTGTACTACCTCCCCTTCATCTTTTGAATTGATCTTTTTTAAAAAAAGGGAAACTCACGTCCGTGAAAATACGTTATTTTATATTGTCCAAAACTGTTTTCTTAATATATTAAATAAAGAAGCAATAATTAAGATCTCTGCTCCTTTAACATAGGACTAAATGAATTAATTTTATAAACAGAGCAAATAAAATTTTTTCTGGAAAAGCATTTAATTTTTTCTGGAAAATGGACTGTAAATCTACATTTACAATGTACATGCAACATCCGCATTGCATTGATTGTGATTAAAAATTTTAAAATTATAACTTACAGTTGAATACCAAATATTTAACATTTTATAATAAAATTGAAGATAATAACACAACCAACAAAATAACTTCTGGTTGATATAGAAATCCTACCCTTTTCACTACAATGTTAGTATTTTAAGTATGGCTTACATCAGGATCATTGTCTCTTTAGAATATGCTCACTCCTTTGATATTCGAATTATTGATTTCCTTTTTTTGTCTTTGTATTTGCCTACACCTTCAGGGATATTTATTTATATCAGGATCAAAGATAGGTTAAATAGTTAGCAGTTTTAACGGTAAGCATTGTTTTACAAAAATAATTAATCCTGTTCAGTGAAATCGTAAGTTTTTCAAGGAACGGAACATTTTGAACGTCGTTAGCGGAAAAACATGCTAACGAACGTGCTCAATTTACATTTACTTTTCAAATTTCTATCTGCAAATCACTGTAATAGAGAAAACTAATAGGTTCGTAAGTAACACGTAAATATCTACGAGATGAACTAATTTATTCATAAATGGTATTGAATAAAACTAATTTACACAAAAATGCGCTAAAAGTAATGCACATTAAATCCTGTCGCACGAGCGTTGCATTGATGCGCGTCACCTAATATAGATGACGTCAACGGCCTCGAAACCTGCTCACGAAAGTCACTTCACGCCCGTCGTCACTGTATCTTATGCAAAACGACACACGAGCGCTCTTGGTGGCGTGTGTTTTCAGCGCGCGTCGCTTATCGGCGTCGCGTGTTGAAAGCTAGAAAACACGCGTTATCTTGACTTATGTTGTTGCTTGAGCCACAACACAAAAGCGTTCGTGTGCCATTTCGGTAATATAGTGTTAATGTACAACGCGCGTTATGCGACAACACGTTTCTCTGGCTCTGGATTCATATTGAAAGTGAAAGTAGTATTCGTAGTACCCAAAAGTACCATGAAAACAACGCACATTGACGATGGTGTCGATGCACCAAAAAACACGTGTCTCTCGCGAAGGAAGTTAACTATACAACTTTGAATGCTCTAAGCGAGATTGTTATACGTGTAAACGAATAATTTGATGGAATTGGGACCAGATCTTAAAAATATGAAAGTACTAAGCGAGAAATCGCGATAACGAGGAACGTGCTGACAAGATTTCACAGTATTTGGCAAGGATGTTCTCAAGTAATGTATTCTTTTCAGAGTGCTAAAGATTTGAAATAAAGATGTCTGTACATAAATTGGATCGATAGATATCATCACATACATCGAACTTTTAACGTAATGTTTTGCACATTTCCAAATTTTGAAAAGTTATTGAACTTTTTTGTAACAAATGCCTTTTTTAATGCATTTAGAGAATGATAATTTTAAATTCTAAAGAGAGAAAAAATATTAATAAATAATATGTTGAAAGAAAACTAAATAACTTGGCTATTTTGTATACAGAGAAGGAAAGTCGTAACACCGCCGAACTTGAAATTGACGATTTTGTGCAAAATAAAACAAGATGGAAATACATGAAAAAAATTAAATACACTTCTTTAAACTGTAATGGTTTGGAATTTTTCATTATTTTTCTGTTTTGTTCAAACGTTTATGAGAGTGCTCTTGAAGTTCTAAATTGTCTTTGAGGGCCACAAGGTTTTGACTGCTTGAGGTTTCCATTTAACATGAGGTGCCACTAATTAGAATGCATGTTTTTTCTGTTTAAGAAATAGTTTCTCTGAAAACAAATACATAAACATACGTGTAATTATATAGAATGGTAGTTTAGTTTCAATATATTTATGAAATAAATTGTAATCCAAAGTGATCGTATCTATTAATTTTTTATACCTACTGTGACGGTATATTCGGACGCGTTACAATGATTCCTACAAAGATGCAATAAAATAACTAAAAACTGACGTATTTAATAAAAGGAAATAGTTGAAGGTGCAAGTAATAAGTGTTTATTTCTAAGAAAAAATCCAAGGAATAGTTCCTGGTAGCAGACCTGGGAAGAATAAATAAATAAAGAACCGTTTAGGAAGGATACACAGTCAATCGAACTCTGGGTTATTATATAATAATGAAAGTCTTTTATTAAATGAACGAATGTTCGTATGTTTGGAAACGACAAGTGAAGGATATAAGAATAGCGCGATTACACAATAGTTTAGATAATAAAAAATTAGGAATTTGTAAAAGGGAAAGGGTAATTCAATTTATCATTTGAAGTTTAATTAGTATTACAGTGAAGAAATTGTGGAAACCAAAAGACATCTAAAATTGGAGTATAAAAATGTACAGCGAGTTTGGCAAAAGAGAAGAGCTGTCCTTTGTTTCAAAACTGTACGGTGAGGAGGAAGGTGTACAACAATACATATAGACAAAGGGGTTGGCAATCTGTTAGTGCTGACATCGTGACAGAATTGAAGTCTGGAGTTTTTCATGTAAAAGGTGGTTGGAAGGTGGTAGGATGCCGTAGAGTGATGTTCCATAGTAAGGAATGTCGTCCGTGAGTGTTTCGATTTGGAGTTTGAAAATAAAAGGATGGTGCCTGCGACGAGAAGGCGCAAATAATCGCGGCTACGGGGACTGCGCCATTTTACGGTGTCCAGCAACCATGGAGGTGACGCAATCTTCCAACAATCTTATAACAAGGCAAAGATTGTAACCAACTAAGTAATTATTAGTAATGGCTAATAGAATTAAGTTAGTTTTCACAATACGTGCACTCTGAATGAACGCAGTTTAAATATATGAATGAGTGAGTGTTATTGAATTTTTGTTTTTCAAGATATCTTGTACTTAAAGGGTAAATTGTATGTGTCATGTTATGATCTATTGAAAGATGGTGTATATACGGCTGAGTACAGAATTCACCGTGTAGAATTTTTAAATCTGGTGTTTGTCAATAAATAATTGCTGCTTATATTGATGGCTTTGTTACAATTTGTGTGTATATGTTACCAGCTAATATAAACCCAATGCTAGGAGAAAGAACATAAAGAGCCCGGTTCCCAAATTAATGTGATAATATTATTTCGGTTTCCTGAACAATAGAGACGGCGAATTCACACAAAATTTATAAATTTGTACGGTAGGTGTGTGAACTAGGCGTAACGTAATAAATTATTAGTTTACTGATTTTGTCTCGCTCAAGTGTGAGGCGAAACAGGAAAGGGGTTAATTATTAGAAATTTTAAATCACAAGTTTATGATCCGTTACACTACATTACATGGAAATAGAAATGCAAATGTTTTTTACTTTTCATTTATTTGACGTTAATGGTGAACTTGTTAATTCATTTTATGCTGTAATAAAAAATGTTGCAATAATATTTTTTGTTATATTTTCCTTTTGTACTTGAGATATTCAAGTATTTTTCTGTAAAAATACATATTTTTTAAACTTAATCCACAATAATTGCATTATTGGATTTTACTATACGGCGAGTAAAACTTCTTGAAATTTTTGAGAAATGCTTGGAACATAACCTACATGTTTTTATTTTTCTTTATAATAATATATTATGAAATATATTTTTCTAAATTACTGTATTTTATATTGGAGGAGTTTCAATAATATAAAATGAGTATAATATCAAGAAAGCACAAAATGTTGCTGTATTTTAACAGGCCAAAATTTGACCTACAAATAACTTTTTTTAACATTTATATTTTGTTCGTGCCTATTACAAACTAGAAGGAAAGTTATTTATCTATATTAAGTATATTAAATATATGTAAATAAATTAAATAGGAAATTAATTTAAATTTAAATTTTGAAATTATTCTTATCCATGTTATTTTTATAAAAATGTATCTAATGTATTAAAATTAATATGTATTTTAAAAGAATTATTTGTATATATTATCAGCAGAGCTCTAAAGAAGTGTATTGTATTTTGTATTGTATTATAATGTATTTTGCCGATAAAGACTTCATAAAGTCTGTTTGTAATGTAAAACACTTTTATCTTTGACCACAAATTAATTTCTTCACATATATTTCAAAAGGAAGTTTTCCTGCAAAACAACATTATATTACATATGTCGCTTTTCTTGTGAACTGACATTTAAACATTTGAAATAGACAAAATTTGGTTTCTAAATTCGGATCAAAAATCTAAAAATCAGAGTCCCCTGTTTTAATTATTTTTATATTTATCTAAAATAAAAATATAAACAATTCTCATTTTATGTCATTTAGCAATAAAATTAAATTTACCATAAGTCTTATGTTAACTAATACTACTGTATTCTAAAATATCTTGAAGACATTTTACCCTTTTCTGATACGTTGATGATTTCTTTTTGTAAGAGGCTTGCATTAGTTTGCTTTTTCAGTGATATATTAGTTATTGTTTCAGTTTTACTGATAAAAATGTTGTGCATTTTCTATAACTATACATATATATATATATATATATATATATATATATATATATATATTTGGGGCGTTATGGGATTGTGCCAACCCCAAAAACAGCACCGTCTCGTATATATGAAACACCCACAGGCAGCGAGGATAGCAGGCGCGGAAAGCAGAGGTTCTGAAAACGGCGGCCTGTATCCGTTGCCCACGTACAAACGAAGGCGAACTAGCGAGCAACGTTTCCTTGTGAAGGGTTGCAGGGAGGGGAAAGCAGCCCACCACTGAGAAATTTCCCCAAGGCGTCGGACGATAAAATACGCGAACCCGCAAGCGGAAGCTGTCTTTTTCTTGCCACCCACTCAACGAGTAAGCAGGCTCTTTCTCTTTGGGAGTCCGATCGCCGAGCAGTAGCATTTTGCATTCACCGCTCGCCGAGCCAAACACTTTCGTTAACATTAGTGTAGATATTGATTGCCGCTGTGCAAACGATTGCTAGGTAGGAGTATTCGGTCGCGTCGAACAGACGTTCTAGTCAGGTCGTCCGCGAGATAGGCAGATTTCAGTGTTTCTTCATTAACGGACATGGGAATAAAAGTACCCGTTGTGAGAGAAGCATTTAAAGTTCTGGTTTAGCAAAGTAGAAGTAGCAACGAGCGAGGAACCTGCATGAGTATTCGGTGAAGTGCAAGGGACATTTTCGCAACGTGGGCGTAGTCAGAGGCACCGGTAGCAGACGAGGTGAAAACGGACGGACCAGGGCGCACGAGGAAGAAGACGGAACGTCCGGGAGGAAGAACGGAAGAGGACGCATGAAGGCAACGCAGACGGCAGAGGCGAATCCCGTCTCTTACGACGCAGAAGCTGGGACCGAGCGACGGCGACGCAGAGACCAGCGCAGGCCATCAAGGCCAAAAGTGGGAAGTCCACGAGGTAACATTTAGGGCGCGGAAAATAGGTCAAGTTCACGTCGGCAGGGAAAAACTAGTATAGGAAAGTGTTAAGAATTTGAGGACACGGGTGGCAACAAATTGCAGTATTATAGTAGGAGACATTTTGATGCGCTATTGCCTGCATAAAACATTCTACTTAGGACATTTATTATTCTGCCATTTTCAGACACAGTTAAATTGTAAATGAGAGTAGTGCACTTGCACACATTTTGTTCTTTGCGTGTAATTTTTGAAGCAGGAGATTGTAAATTGAATTTTTGGTTTCATGTCCAATGTAATTAGGATAGCATAAATTTAGATATAATTAATTTACCAAGGGAATTCCCAGTGTAGATTAGGGTAATTATTTCAGAGTATCAATTTTGGAGTAAACTATATGTGATCATTCATATGAACACGTATGAATGTTCACATATGAATGTGTGTGTTCTAAAGGTCTCTATTTGTGTTTTGATCATTCTTTGTAAAAGTGTTCTTGTTCTTGGTTTTGTCATATTCTTGGTTTTTGTCATGAACTTATGCCACTAAAAGTTTATGGGTAAATTATACGCTCGTTTGTGTGCAATTTTGTGTGATTTTATTGTGTGAAGCTTTGAAATATTTCTCGCACCATGAAGATCCTGCTCCCTAGATTTTTAAGCTCGCTTCACGAGCAAAATCTTAATAACCCACTTACGGTTCATGCGTGTTACGGTGAAGGTGGTGAAGGTTTGGGTGTAGGTGGGTTAGCTAGAAATATAACTGAAGATATACCTGAGGTATAACAAGCTCGCATGAGCATATATACCTCGCGGATATCGAGCTCATGTGAGCTTGTTATACCTCAGGTCAGGGGGATGTTTTTGAGTGTTGAAAGCAAATCCAAAACAATTTAAACAGGGTTTAATAATCTTAAAACCATTTTCGTTGATTACAAAATCACACCAAAAACCAAAAATGAAACACAATAGAAAAAAAATTGAAACCCTTTCTCAATGGAGTCAAAATTAGTCGTTAAACTATTAACAAAAATAGTCACTGGGAATTCCCTTGGTTACTCTGACTAATTAAATTTGCTACAATTCCTATTTACATTAATCAATGACATAATATACAATTTAACACTCCATTCAAATAACTTTACTACAAACCAACCAGTGCAAATGCACCACACTCTCTTCAACAATTTCGCTGGGGTGCGAACAAGATGAACTAATATTGAGCTGACAGTTTGTAGGAAATAGTGCTTTTAAAATGGCAAGAATCTCTGAAAGATACTCAGATACCTCCTGTTTGTTTATTTTCCTCACAATTTCCTGGTTAATAAGTTCTCCCTGTTCGACGTGACTTTGACCTCATTTTCAGCGCTTTCGCGCCGTTAGCTCCTGCTGCTGCGTCCTCCGAGCTCCAACGCTCGACCTTGAAACGCTCCGACTTCGGCGAATACTCGGCCGTATCCACTGCCTTCGGCGTCCGCGGAGCCAATCGGGGCCCCTGGTCACCGGTGACTTTTCGCCGCCCTCTTGCCTCGTCTTCCGGTCTTGTTCTCCCGTCGTTTTTCACCCTCGTCCACTTCGTCTCCCTCGACGTTTCCGTTTAAACCCACGTGTGAATGTTCTTTGCACCGCACTGAAGAACTCGTGCGTGCGCGTAGCTCTCGCTCACACTGTCCAAAAAATTTCGCGGCTGATTGAAACCTTCTTGATCTCAGCCCGAACTATTTCCCTATTGTACTGTCCTTAGCACCACAATAACTGGTAGACTAGATCAATTCTCCGCGTCTTATTTGAAGAAAAACTTTATTTCAGAAAAAATTCTAACAAAGTTGGTGGACGGCTGTCTAGGCGTCTGTCGGACGTCCAACACTCCTACCAAGTAACTCGGCAAAGTTGTTGTTGGATCGGTGGTCAAGAACTGAAGAGAGTGCTGCTGGCTCCAAGATTAGGAACGAACAGAATGACTGACCATGGGCTCGCGTATTTATGTACGCACCCGTAAGGGTAGTGCGTGTCGTTTTCCTCTCTCCATTTCAACTGCTTCCGTCGTATACCTGCGCCGTGCCGCGCAAACATTACTGAAGGCTGAGGGCGCGCCTATTTCAAACCGCGGCGCGCTCACTCACCCAGTCTACGTCAGGCGTTTTCTTAATGTGAATATGTGAATATATATATATATATATATATATATATATATATTCGAGAGAGCGAGCGAGAGTGATACATACACACAAGGTGAATGGGGAGCAAACATCGAAACTTCGCAAATAAGCTCTCAAGACCATTTAAACCATATTTTGTGTAATAAACTACTTGGAAATTCCGAATGTTTGAATCGCAATAAATCCTCAAAAGTTGGTTTGCAAAAATTTTAGGCTAATATTAGATTTGCAGAAGAATAGAAACATGTAAATTGTTTATTATTTAGAAAATAAGTTAATCTATTTGTTCAGAAAGACAAATTAAGACAAAAATAGCAAAAAGTACCCAATTTACACAATTTGACTCCTTTTTTACATCTGAGTTAATTTTTCTTCCTCACTAAATATATTAATTGCTTTTCTATTATATATAGTAATTATTCATGCTCATAGATGCCGTTTCCAGGATTAACAAAATTGAGATTGCGGTACATAACTTATATAGTATTTAAAACTTAAAAAGATTTTTAAAGTAATATTTGGAACACATTTCATACAAACAAAAACCCAAATACTATCCTGTAAATTTATTTCCTGATCATACTATGGTAACAAATTTAGGTACATTAAGTGCTAATATGCATTAAATTATTACTCTTTACATTAGGTATATTATGTTTAAATTTTTGGAAATTTTCTTTTTCGAGAAACAAATTTACTGTTGTTAAAATAAATACTTTAACTGATGTAGTAATGTAGTAACTAGTATAGTAATGAAATGTTAATGTTCTGTTGTTATTAATTAATCACTTTCAAACAATTAGTGCACTACTATTTTCAATCAATCATTTTTTTAAATGTAGAAATATATTGTAAACACACCCTCTGTGTGGCTGCCCCAACTCACCTGATTACCTATATTTCGTCCGATCCAGAGTTGCCTCGGCTACTCAGTCTGCAGACTCCCTAGAGGGAGGCATGCGTGATAGGGTTAACTTTAATACTACCACTACATTCAAACACTTTTTTCATTTCTTTTAGAGTGATTTTAATGAACGTTTTTATGATCGAGTTGAAGCCTCACGCTAAAATTAATCCTAAGAACTATATTGAATCTAATCTTATCTTAAATGGTCGCACGGGCCAGAGTGCATCATCGGCTGCCGGGCGGTGTTCTTCCGGGCGGTCATGACCCTTCCCGCGGGAGCGGTGGCCTCGCGCCCTGGCGTCTGGCGGTCGCCTGCAGGCGGCAGGCTGCGTCTCACCTCACCCTATTGGTCCATCAGCCCGGCTGTCGGGCGGCAGGCGGTGACCTTCCCGATGTCCACTACTCCTGTTACGTGAGCTGCGGTCGTCAGCCGGCTGCGGCTAGCCTCACCACTCTTTGCCCTTCAGCAAGGCGGTCGGGAGATGGCTGCGGTGTCGATGCGGCGTGGCAGCATTGACTGGCTCACTGCGTTTGATCTGAGCTAGTGTCCCCAACGTGGACATTAATGTTACGATGAGGCTAAGCATTCGGGCGGCGGCGCGGCGGCAGTACATGCGCTGGTGATCCCCCCAATTGAAGCAACACCCCCTCGCCCTCACCTCGGCAAGGCCCATTTACTCCTCGTGTCTGTCCTGATCGGAATGGGAATAGCAGAGCGTCTTCAGATCGCCTCGTAGTCTCCGCAGGTCATCTGTCCCTCCCCCACTTTATTTCCCGCGATTGGTGGGCGAGCGTCACACGGTTTCTCCCCCTATCACGGCGTCGTTGACGTCTTGCCAAATTCTGCGAAACTCGAACGTCATTCACGTTCCGGGAAAAGGGCGCAGCTGCGAATCGTCGCTCGAAGGTAACGTCGCTCGTATTTTTCCATGAGTGACTGGATGTGGCCTGGCGTGGGTTCGGCCAAGACAAAAGGGTTGGATTCCTCTGCGTCCCCAACCCTTGAAAGCGCATGCAGGTAGAGACACACTGTGCGTTTCCGGGCGTCCTTTCGCAGCAACGTTATTTTCAATATAATTTTATAAAACACGCATCGCCATCTGAAGCGTGCGACCGTTTCATTACAATATTTAGTAAATAATCAATGGTTTCTTAATAAAAGTTCATAAAAATGATTCAAAAACTGCTGAGATATACAGTAAAATCCTTTCTCTTTATCTACAAAGAAAATGGCTCGGTATAAATTCTATAAAAAATAAATTGTTGAAATGTGACACTTTTCTTGTCCACTAACTATGTACAGTGTACATCTATTTAATTTTCCAGTTAAGTTTGTATTAAGAGATATAGTAACAAACCAGATTGCATTTAACAAGAGCTTTAGTTTGATAACAGATATTTTTGTTTTAATTATGCCCAAATGTTTATTCCTATGAAGACATAAGATATTCAATTCAAGAGTTTGTGAAATTATTTCCATTTTCAACTTCTTTAATGTCAAGTCAATTATGAGAAGTGATATATAACCGTTGTGTCTGCAAGAAGTGTTGGAAGTGGAATTGGAATTATGGAATTGGAAGAAAGTGGAATTATTTGTGCATCAATCCTATATGATCAAGAACACTGAATAACAAATCATGCAAATGTTGTAAACCTCTGAAAGATAAATGGGCTTTGGCCTTTAAAATGTCAAAAAAGCCTTGACAAAATATTTAATGACTAATGAAATATTTTTTTCTATTGGGCTCTCATATATGTATTTATAGTTACCACTTTTTGTTGTAATAATGTGTTGTATTGTTTTTATGAATTTGTAATGAATTATGAAATTTTGTTAATATATCTGTTGTCTAATACAGATCAAGTGACTAATAAAAAGAAGTTTCTAGATGCATTTTAAGGTAATAAAATGCTTTTAACACGATTTGCACTTAGTTTTGCTTTCAA